TCGTACAAACACACACACTCATACATATAAACAACTATATACACACACACACACACACACAAAGAAATGTGAAGACATTGCACTTGTTCACCTGGCCCACATATCACACCCCTACTACATCATCACCATTGACACTTATGGCCTTGAAGGGCTGCAGTTCAAAGTTCATGACATTCAACTTAAGGTTCATTTTGATGTTTTGGTTGTATATGTTGTTTAATTTTTGTATTTGCAGTAAAAAATTATTTCTGTGCAAACGAATTTTAATTATATTTAAGAAATTTTTTTTATTCTTCTAGAGAAATTTTAATAATTATGTTTCAAATTGACAGTTCACAACCTACCATGCTCAGTTCACTCAGCTCGAAATATGGTTTAGATTCACTTTTCTCCTCCTCACTTTCCTGTCAACAGTGCGTTGTGGTGGATGTTCATCACGTTTGCATGATTTCAGATGTCGACCATTTTAGTTCATTTTGTTTTATTAAGATTTCATAAGGATATATGGTTGAAATATTTTTGTGCTTCACTTGAAATGTTCGTTGTTCGTTTGCATATTGAATTGTTGCAGTGTTCATTCGCATATTCTTTGAGGAGGTTCAGCATCTTCAGCTGGTCGATGGAGCAGAGGTGGATGACTCTGCTTCTGCCTATGTTGATTCTTTATAACAGTTGGTTGTTGTTGATGTGTTATGCATACATTTGTACCACCTACCTATCTACCTACCTACCTACTTACAACTGCTTTTTACACCCAGACCCGATATTCGCACTGACATTCTTGATAAGCAGCTGGGTGCCGAGTTTGATCGACATCATCCTCCAATCAACATTTCTTGCTGCCCTCTTGATGTTTTGGCTGTGCGCTTATCATGGAGTTAGGCAGGTCGGTTGTGGTGGCTGTGGTGGCGAGGATGATGACGACGACGTTATCGTCACAATTATTCATTTTATTTATTCCATATCCAACAGATTAAGCGAAAATTTTCCACGTTTTACCTTCCAAAGTTGTTTCTGGTGTTGAGTTTGTGGTTCGTCGTCGTTTTCTACTCGTGCTGGCATAGGTTGAAAGACCTTAATGACCCGACAGTGGACGGAAATAACTTGGTCAGTTGGATGGTTGGTTGTTCAGTTGGGTGGCTGGTTGGTTGTTCAGTTGGTTATTTGGTTAGTAGTTGTGATGATTTTGATGATCACCACCTTTGAAATCATGTAATCTTCACCACCACTGCCAAACGATGACAGAACTTCAAGATAGCCATAGGAATATTAGGAGCGTTGTACCTCATGTCACTTGTTTATCTTGTCATTAGAGCATTTGCTGAACTTAGATCTATGCCTTATTTTGGTAGGCTGGCTGATTGAGTGATTGATTTATTGATCCATGCATTCATTCATTCATTCATTCATTCATTCATTCATTCATTCATTCATTCATTCATTCATTCATTCCTTTGTTTGCTTGATGATTCATCTATTCAAACTTAATTCTATTTCAACCATTTCCACACACACCCTGCAGACCTGCGCTTGAAGTTCATGACCAGTCTAATGGTAGTCTTCTTCATTGTCTGCCTCATCACCGTCTCATTCAGATCGTCATCATCATCTATTTTTGGAATCGGGTTTTTCCAAGCACTTTCGCCTTACCCAATATCAACCATAGAATTTGTAATTTTGTATGGAATGCTGAATGTGCATCTTATATCCATGGCGTTTGTTTATTCGCCATCAAGTAATGCCTTTTATGGTTTGTTTGCTTGCCTCTTTACTTTTATTTCTTTCTCTGACTTTTGCTTGCTTGCATATCACAAATAAACGAACGAATGACAAAAAACGAACCCATCGCTGTCAAATGCACCCAAACAAACATGCAACACAGAATCTCATTTCAAAGATAATCCTGCCCTCTCCATGCTTAACGATTCGGATGATGATGTCGTTTATGGGTGAGTGATGATGGTGATGATATATTTACAATTTCAATTAAACTGATTAATGAGGTATTCAAGTTTAATTGAAATCAAGGCTGATTGTAACGATCCAACTTTTTAATTTCGAGTCACCAACAATTACAACATACTCGCTAGATGATAAATACTGAGACGTCCTACATTTTTCCATTGAAACAGCGAGGAAATGTCGTTAACACCGAAGAGGCCGGTGAGGAGGCAGAAGTATGATGACAGTGACGATGAAGCCTTCAATTGATCGCTTCCTTCCTCTTTCTCCTCCTCCTCATCATCATCATCATCTTCTTCATCATCTTCTTCATCATCATCTTCTTAGTCATCATTTTTCCATGCTTCAGATGTGTTCACCAAGACCAAACAAACGTTCTTGTGTTCATTTCAATCATTTGTTTGTTTGTTTGTTTGTTTGTTTATTTAATATTTATTTATTCATCTACTTGTTATAATTGTTAACCTATAGTAATGATAATATTATGATTGAAAGCACGCATTCCAACCAGCCAGCCAACCAGCCAGCCGACATGTAAACAATGTTACATCTGCATCATTTCTCTTTCTGACCTTAAATCGTCCAAATAGTAAATGGTACACATTTGATATGCAACATTCAGTTGCGTACCTAGATGAATGTTATGTTCGTTTATTCGTGACAGTGAGATGATATATGTTTATTTGAGAGGACGCTGTGAGTAAATTTGTTTGCACGTATTTTATCCATCAAATAATTATGCATATTACGATGTGGCCATGTTTATTTTATTTTTCGTTTTTGGAGATTGCATCTAAAAAGTTTATAATATTATTTCCGGCTATTTTAATCTTTGAGTATGTTAAGAAATTTTTATTTTGATTTAAATTTTTGAGGTTAATTGATTTCTACTTAAATTTTGCTAAATTGAACTGGTTTTAATAACTCATAACTGACAGATTTGTATAGGTTCAAGTTTTTGATGTATTTTGCTATGATGATGATGAATTTGTGTAATTATTTTTTATTAATTCACTTTAAATGTAAATAAATTTGATTTATATTTAATTACAATGTTTTAATTTGTCAATATTTTTATTTCTTTGCTTGATTTTAAATTTTGGAAGTTTGGGTTTAATCATTTTCATTTCAATTCATCAATGAATATTTATTTGAAGACTTTATCATAAGTTTGTTAAACTTTATTAATTAATTTATTTATTTATTAATTAATTTATTACGACTTCAGCATTTCTTTCAAAGGAAATCATGTAAAAATAAAACTTGAGGTTGTCATTTGTAACATTTTATAGTTGCCTAAATAAAATGCTCATTTAACGATTGTAACTCATTTAAAATTATTTATAAATTTAATTATTAGATAAATAATCTTTAACAACAACGACGCAGAGATCATTAATTTATTCATCACGCATTGGAAATAAAATGTTTAAAAATGCTGTTGTAGACTCGAAGCGTGCGCCTATGAAAGTGCGTGCAGTTACATGATCCCACGTCTCACTCCATTGTTCTTTTGCAGTTTCGTCATTTTTAAGCGTTTATTCATATTCATTGATGAAGTGCTTTAAACATTTCACGACAAAGATGAGTACACTATCGTGTAATATCATGTTCTTTGTGCAAAAGTTTATCAAGTTATTCAAGTTTTGCATTGAAAAACTTATCTCGTAAACTTATTGAAAAACTTATTATGTGTATTCGAGTGTGTTGTTTGTATTTCATGATTGTATTTCATGTGAGTTTGCAAGTTAACGTCGGAAAACTTTTATACAACTTAGACGATTGAATCTGGATGACAAGTTATTTTACGGATTAGAACCGTTACTATTCTTTACAGTGCAACAAATGGGGACCCTTTTTGATGCAACTTCCCAAGGAACAGCGGACGGAACGTACCTGTTGTAAAAGTTATCTGAAAGGTACACACGTGTTTGATTTTGTTGTCTCTATTATATTTATTTCTGTGTTTTATTGTGTTATGTATAAATCTGTTTGTTTCTTTGTTTGTTCACTAATTCCAAGCTCTCTTAATGATGTTAAATCGTTTGCGTCGTATTTTCACTAAGCCTCCTAAAATGATTTTTATTTCAATTGTTCATTTCTTCCAATAAGAAATCATACAATTTGCAGAATCTAGGGTAGCAAGTTAAAAATCATTTGCAAAGTTTCGAAGAAGCTTACAGTAAGAAGCACCATTATCATTATTTATACGAAGTTCTTAAAATAGGAGTATTGCATTTTGAAGTTTGATACCTTACACATTAAAGGTGAATTCGCTAACTGGAAGCAGATGGTAACAGCTTATTATTTTATAGTTCATATTTTCTTAATGATATTTAATCATTCATCTATCCATCTGAAGCGCAAACGCGTGTGATATGATGGCTGGGACTGTCACATACCCAATCGCTTTTTTACGTTTTTTAAATTAAATTTTTTACGTTTGTTAACTAAACTTTTCCAGCGATTGATTTTATGTTCATTTTTAAGTTAATTGAGTCTACACGTGAAACATCTTCTGTATTCAGTGTCTTGATGTGCAACTATGTTATATGGAAGACTTGACCCGATGTATATAGCCCATTTACATTAATGATTTCAATGATGACTTCATGCGTACCCATTCAGTGGCGGGTCTAGGTGGGCAGTATTGCATTAAAAGTCAGTAGAACTCAGTTTTTACTCAAGAAAAACACCATTTTATGTATAAAATTGACGTTATAAGCCAAAAATGGTCAGTCCCCTAATTTACTACCATTCTGGGTGGCAAATAATCTTTTATGCGTTTGAGTGAATGGAAACTTTTTGCTGCATCTGCAGTGCTCAGTTGTTTGCTTGAAAATAAAATAATCGATTCTAAGGCAATTTGTTAAAAATTCAGCGATAATTTTCTTCAAAAGAACGTTTCCAAATTTTAAACTCAGTCGATCGCAAATTAATTTTGCGATTTTATATACAATATTTGTTGGTTATATTAATTTTAAAGGCCCCAGGGAAGCATATATATATATATATATATATATATATATATACAATCATATATATATATATATATATATATATATATATATATATATATATGAGTGTATGCTAGTATATGTATACATATTTCTAACCTAAATCACACATCATTTATTATTAAGTAAATTACTATTATATCATTTATTATTTACTATTACTATACAGTCTTCGATACGCAGAGTATATAAAGATTGAGTTTGGAAGAATAAAATTCAATGTAAACTGTTCATTAAGTCGTGGTCGGTCGTTGAAGTATCTGGATATATACATCCATAATGATGAAGAAGTTATCTTTCGTTGTCGTGTTGTTTGGTCTGTTTTGCAGTAAGTGATCGTTGCATCAATGAAATATTTCGTTGCTAAATTTTTCTTCAATAAACGATTTAACTCTATAAAATAGATTAATAACGAATATTTGTTCTGTGTTTCATCAAAAAATCTTCAGACGTTGCCTTCTCAGCTGTCGGCCAGGTAAGCATCGGCGATTCAAACATCGCTGGTTTGGGAACTGATTTAGAGAGATCTGTCAAATGTTAATTCATCTGTTTTCATTCTTTTCTTATTTTATTCACAAATTTTAATATTTCTGTTGAATAAATTGAATGAAATTTTCAAAATCATACAAATGGCATTGGAAATAGCATGTGCTAACAAAAAGAGGCTTCGAGTTGACAACCGTATATTTGATATTTCTCGTGATAAATATACTTCAACAACTTAAACTGCACATTAGGTTGATTATAAAATAATAATAATTAGTATTAATTAAATAATAATAGATAAATATTTATATAATTATTTCGAATATTAATTTCAGTGACCTCCGCCAGAACAGAGAGGGCCTGGGCAGAAGCTGGCAAAGCAGTTGGTTTGCTGATATGGAGGATCGAGGTTTTGTGATTTTTATTAATTCACAATTTGTATTCATCAATAATATTCATTTAATATAAATAACTTGAAAAATATTTTGCTTTTAATTTGAAAGAAATTCAAAGTGGTGGCCTGGCCAAAAGTGAAGTACGGACAGTTTCACGAGGGAGATTCCTACATCATCCTCAACGTTCGACTTCACTTTTTGATTTTTTTATTTTCAAAATTCACTTTTTAGTATTATTCAGAAGTATCACTAGCAAACAGACGGTGTACCTACATAATATAATACACGGCAGGCGTCAACTTGCATTCATCTCAGAAGCTAGTCTCACACCTCCCATCAGCTTCTTACCATCATCTTCTTACCATCATCTTTTATTCCAAATTTGCAAAAACTTATGTATATTTAAAATGAAATTAATTTAATTGTCAGACTCGTTACAAATCTTCAACATCAAGAGATTATGAATACGATCTTCATTTCTGGATCGGAAAGGACAGCACACAGGTACAAGTACATGCGCACAACATACATTTAAACATCTAACCCACACCTACAACATACATTTAAACATCCTACTTACATAGAAATTAATCTTAATCAACCACATATGAATTCATTTGAATGTTTTTTCGATTCGTTTATTTTTCAATAAATTACTTAACTGCAATGAATAAACGAAAAGCTAAACATACACAACAAACACAACAAACAAACATACGAAACGAAACGAAGGACGAATACGGAGCAGCTGCGTACAAGACAGTAGAGTTGGATACCTACCTTGGCGACAAGCCTAAGCAATACCGAGAAGTTCAGGGCGAGGAATCTTCTCTTTTCAAGAGTCACTTCAACAACAACATCAGGTTCGTTACTGGCTCACTATCTATCTATCACTTCTCTCTCTCTCTCTCTCTCTCTCTCTCTCTCTCTCTCTCTCTCTCTCTCTCTCTCTCTCTCTCTCTCTCTCTCTCTCTCTCTCTCTCTCTCTCTCTATTTCGTTTCTTACTCTTGCGGCTTGCAAGCAGTTTATTGATGATTACAACCTGACTGAGATAGCGAGTTAAATAACCGTAAGCGCAAATCAGATGGACCCTAACCAACCATCCAACTAATCAATCAACCAACCCTTCTGCCAACCAACCAACCCTTATAACAACCAACCACCAATTTTAAACAGATATCTTCCGGGCGGAATGGCCTCAGGTTTCAGAAAAGTGGAGCCCGTTGTTTACTTGCCACGGTTCACATATTTATTTCAGTTTTTTTTAAATCTTTATCATTCAATTCTTAAGAATATAACAATAAATTTATTAAAATAAATAAAATTATCATAAATTTTATTAAAACCAAATGAAATATGAAAAATGTTCGTGACGTATGTTTCAAATGGAATCGTAGGTTGATCAAGTTCTCAGGTAGCAGGCAGAACGTAAAAACTGAAGAGGTACTTTTCGATTTTGGAAAAGATTCACAATCAATTTCTCAATTAATTATAAATAATAGTTTAATTAGGTATTTATTAACAAATATTTTTAATTTACTAAATTGTAGATTCCTCTGAAAGGTGCAACGATAGACGGCGGCAACTGTTACATCCTCGACTTGGGCCTCACCGTGTATCAGTTGAATGGAGCCGGCAGCAACAAAGACAACAGATACAAGGTGCTGCTTCTTTATTATTATTTATTTTATTATGTCACCTCTTCGCACAATCGTATTAAGATAACCGGCACGTAGATTATTATTCATCATCAACCACAAAATTAAACCTTACCATAGGTAACTTGAATGAATCACTTATTTTTGTGCTTCTATCAAAGATAATTTACGACGTTTTCGTCTTTATAAATTTAAGTGCATTTACTAGCAGTCAATTTTTTGTGGTCCCGTGGTAAGTTGGAAGTCTAATGATGGCTCATTTCAACATTTTTAGGCCCTCGTGCATTTATTAAACTATGAAGATGGAATCGTATTGAATGAATCATGCTTATTCTATTGGATGGGATGATAGAAACCTCATGCTCTAACTTTTAGCCTTCATTATATCTGATGAGTTAAATATATGTAAAAATTAATTGGTACCTTCTTGTTCTACTGAAATGATAGTCAGACCAACCAAACGATACATATGCAGCTTCAGATTTAGTTAAATTTAGTTTTGGTTAAAAATTTCTTTTCAGCGCTAGAAACTGGGATTGGTGGAGACTTTACATTAAATAAAATAAGTTATAGTTTTCACGAAACTCTGCAACAGCGAAATAGATTGCACATATTTTGGTTTCAGTCAAGAAATTTTTTCACAGAAAGTTTGAGAAAGTACTGTCTACGCTCGATACCGGCTTGAATAAATATTAAAAATTTTAAATGAAATAAATAATTCCTTGCAGGCTCTGGAGTTTTTGCAGAAAATAAAATCCGAGAGAGGTAGAGTGAAGACGGAAACGTTTGAAGGATCAGAAATGAACCCAGACGTACGTTGTCATTGTTGTTGTTCCTGTTGTTGTTCCTGTTGTTGTTGTTGTTGTTGTTGTTGTTAATTATATCATCGTTACCATTATAATATCACCATTATGCACACAACCAAATTTTAATTGTCTTCACTTCTTTAAGAGTCAAAAGGATGGTGGCCATTGAAATATTTAATGACTCTAAGAACTTTAATATACGAATTAAACTACAAAATTAAAAAGTTTATCCGAAGAAATAAAAGCAGCTCTTTGTTTTAAAGAATTTTCATATTAAATAAAATTAAATACTAACGTTTTGGTGAAGTTTTACAGTTAATTATAACAAATTTACGCTAATTATACTAAAAATTTCTACCAATGGAATAGAGCTTTCAAATGCAAGAAGATTGGTTATTAAATTCTAGCCAGTACAGGTGTAGAAACTTATTTTATATTTTATCTATCTGAAAGAAGTAAGTTCTTGAAACGATGCAACCAATCAGAAATGTGCCAGTACTAATGAAAGAAGACAGGGGGTAGGGAATTTACTTCTTGTGTGAGCAGTTTTATAGCAGAGGACGATTACTATATCGCCTAATTTCATTACAATCAATGAAATCGGCTGTCATCATAATGATATTATATTATATCATCTTACACGGCTACATATTATCTTATGAAATCGCCCGTTGCAAATCACATTTTCAAACTAACAGCACATCTTCATGAAAACTTTGAAAAGAGAATCAGGAATAAACTTCGAGCACGGAGCTGAATACACATATAGCCCAACTTTATTCCAGTATTTCATTTCAAAATCAACTTTTTTTCGTTTATAGATTTTTTTAAATAATTAAGCTGTAAACTAGATTTTGAATTGTTGAATGAAATGTTTGTTGTGAATGTCACGTTGGAAAGATCGAAGACGGTGACGAACAGGGCTGATGTTGTGAAAGCCAAGGAAGGAAACATCAGGAGGTCTGATCTTAAAAGTGATGTACGTGGTTCATTTCTTTATTTGTTCGTTCGTTCATTCTTTTGCTCTTTCGTTCGTTCATTCACCCAAACGTTCTTTCTATAAGAAACAACTAACTACCCCGAAACAACTGACTTCAGGATGCCTTCGTGTTGGACACCGGCAAGGATCTCTTCGTCTGGTACGGGTCGACCTCCACTAAGGATGAAAGAGATAAGGCTCTCAGTTTTGCTCATGTTAGTCGATGAGTGGCCTCTGCTTTTGTGTGTGTCCGCGTGCATATTTTTTATCTTGTTTACTCTTTTTCATTGTTGATTAGCGTTCTTCAATGGATTGAATGAATAACTTGAATGAGGTGAATTTTTGCTTCAAATTTTAATTTTAAAATGATGTGCAGATTGAATTGAAATGACTTGCATCACCACGCAGAATCACCTGAGAGTTTCGAAACATTCGATGATTCCCATGAACGTGATTGACGAGAAGCAGTTGACCTCCCCAAGTTACATCAAGCCTGCATACTTCGATATCTCACTTAGTGCTTGAGTTCATCACTAACATTCTTCAGATAGGGATGCTGATGAGGATGATATTTTTGTTGTTGTTGATGATGTTTTCAAATTTAAACAACAATGATATGAGGTCATTTGATCTGCTGGTTGGCTGCTTATGAATGTTCTATGAATAATTTTCGCGAGCCATTCAATTGTTCGCTCTTTTGTTAAAATATACTTGGATTATTACATTTAAACACTCTCTAACTTTGAACGCACTAGAAACATTACATTGATGAGGTCGTAAGAGGAGTTTGTTTCATATTAATCCTCCGCTCAAATGATAACGAAATCAAATTTCAGATTGATAATTATATCAGTATTGTTTTCAATACTACTACTGCTACTACTACTACTACTACCTACAGTAAAAATAATTGCCAAAGATCTTATATTTATCGTTTGAGAAGGATAAGTGGTTATTTATGCATTAATAACGAGCACATGAGAAGCATGGGGTGATCGAATGCATATCTGTGTCTGTGCGTGTGTGTATGTATGTCTGTCTGTCTGTGTTTGCGTGTGTGTCATATGTAGCATATCGCGAATATCTGTCATGTAGTGAGAGAGAGAGAGAGAAAGTGATAAGAAAGAGAAAGTCAAAAAAACATGTTGATGAGCGTAAGCTGGACGTCGTCACACTCACTTATACTGATGAATTTTCTAATTATAACTAAAAATAAAATATAAAAATTTATTTTAATGTTTATGCATATTTATATATATATATATTTATATATTTATATATTTATATATATATATATATATAAGTCATCTGAAGCACATAAAAACGTATCATATATAAATATGTACGTGTGCATGTATTTAAGTCTCTATATACGTGTGTATAGAGTAGAATGAATGAGTTTTGCATATAAAACCTGAATGACATTGTGTTGAGTTCCTTTGCTATTCATTCATTCATTTGTTATTCGTTTATATATTTTTCATTCATCCACATTTCCTCGTTTTATTATCTGTCTATCTGGTTGCTGGTTTGCCGACAACATGACAGGTCAGTTAGTGAAATATAATTTGTTTATTTTATGATGACATGATTTCAACTCAAAGAAGTGCTTGCTCCGAAATTCTGGTTTTAATGTTCTAAAAAAATAAAATGGTATGTAACTATAACTTATGATGTAATAATATCATCGCTTCCGCCTCTGCGCTGATAAAATTAGTCTGTTCTTTGTGAAGTGCAGCTTGTTTAAAAATTATTAAGGTGCTTTGTATGTTTGTTGTGCAATTTTGTGTCCGTATGTGTGTTTTTGTGTGAGATATTTCAAAAAGCTTCCATTTATAAGCAGGTGTACGACTCAATAAAATAAAATCGATTGAGTTTCGCATAAGTGAATGCAGAAGGTGATGACGACGATGAAGACGACGATATTGCTGATGAATATGATGATGACGAACGCTCACACACAGGTCTGATAAAGCCGAAAAAATATGATTGGAAAGACAGTAACATGGCTCTCTTCGGTTCTGAAACTGAAAAATCTGTAAAATGTAAACTTTTTGTAATCATTTACTTTCTAATATTTGGTTTGTGATACTTTTCTGTAAGTTTAAGTTAGTTGTCATTCATCCATTTCTTCATCCGTTCCTTCATTCAGTCCATCCATTCATTCTTTCAATCCTTTAAAGTTGATTCAGCCAATCAGGAGCCGGCCTGGAAGACAGCTGGTCAGAAAGTTGGTCTGCAAATATGGAGGATAGTCGTTAGGATGCTTTCCTTCAGTCATTCTTTCCCTTCATTCCTTCGCCACATATGCACACACACACGCATACACACAATAATAATATAATTTTACATTAATTTGAAACATGTACGTTTTTAATTCATTTCTTTTCAACATATCCCGAGAACCAGACATTTACCTTTCAATGAATGATTATTTATCTGTATATATGCATGTGCATGTATGTAAATTCATCTTTCAGCGTATGATTGTCTGTATATATATATATATATATATAAGTATGTGTATGTACGCCTGTACATGTACTCTTGACGAGCTTCTTTTGAAACAATGTTATAATATTTTGAATTGTAGGGCAAAGTCTGATTGATGACAATATTCAAGTAAACGACAATACAATAATAACAATAACAATATCAATTTAAGAAATTTAAAGTAACGGTTTGGCCGAAAGAAGATTACGGAAAGTTCTACAATGGCGATTCTTACATCATCTTGAATGTTAGACCAACCATCACATTTTCAATCTTTCAACATAACATGATTCGTGAAAGCATATCACAAACATTACACTGTACCCACACACGTTACTCGTTTCTTGACATATTATTTCTCACTCAACAGCATATTTCTTATTTTTAAAATGCTAAACCAGGGGTGGGCAAACTATTTGCAGTGAGGGCCGCATTGAGAACTATTTAACCTTTGAAGGGCCGCATATGTACTTAAATAGCAAATTTTTTCGACCAAGGGGAGATTTTTTAATAATAAATAATTTAAATAATTTGTGGCCCCTTTTTTTGGTTATAATGTCTGGCTGACGACCTTTTTTTGGTGAACAAGACCCGCATAAAAAAAATAGCTTCGAGGACCGCATGTGGCCCGCGGGCCGTAGTTTGCCCACTCCTGTGCTAAACTGGAGACGCACCGATGGCCATTTTCAAAGGCCAAATAGCCGAATATTGCAATTTGCCTTTAAGCCAGTATTTTTAGATTCAATAAACAATAATAATATTCAACAATGATTGTTGAATATTATTAGCGAAAAATTTATTTCAACCATCATAGCTGTTAAAAAATCTGAATTTGAACAAGAGATAGTATGATATATTATTTCGATGAAGAGTTGTCGGATAGACATAAACGCCTACTGTTTCTTTTTTTTCACAATTGTCCGGTTTTTAGAACTCGTCTTCGACTGGATAGTGGATTTGTTTATCGGACCAACGTGACTACCGGTGCATCTCTATAGACTGTAATGGATCAGTTGCATAGTTTGATGATAAATGAAAATTTAAAAAAATAATATAAAATGATGTTGTGCTGGATGACAGCAGAGCAATTATAAATACTTGAATTTTAAACAATTTCGGCAGAATTTAAAGGGCGATGATGGTAATAATTTATATTAAGTAATAAAAACATGAAAAATCAAAAGAATAATAAAAAATATTATTATTAAAACTAATGGAAATAATTTGCGAAGACGTACCACGAAACACCGACGTCGAAAGATTTCAGTTACGACGTTCACTTCTGGATTGGCAGCCAGAGTACAGCCGTGAGCTTCAATCTTTTCATTCCTTCTTTTTCCTTCATCATTCTTTCATCCCTTTTTCATTCCTCCACACACAAACAAGCAGACACCCACCAAGGCAACAAACAACAACAACAGGACGAATACGGCACGGCAGCCTACAAAACAGTTGAACTTGACACGTACCTGAGAGACAAGCCAGTCCAGCACAGGGAAGTCGAGGCGTTCGAATCTGAGACCTTCAAGTCTTACTTCAAGCAAGGAATTATGTGAGTCGTAAAGTTAGTTTGTTCGAACGACGACGTGATAGTGTAACGGGAAAGCAGCCGGTGTTGCCTCGCAGCATTCGGATTGAAGTACAAACAGACCCTCGCCTCGCCCCACGCGAAATCAGCAATTCATACGCTCTCTTGCCTGTCGCGCGTGTTTTGTTGTCGACGTCTGAAGCGCTATTATGTTTTTTTATTCTCATTTTTACTTTTACTTTATCGAGGTTTAAATTCTCAAGTTCGTCATTCTTACTTACTTGTTACAGGTGCTTTTTCAAATATTCTTATAATCGCCGTTTAGTTATTTTCATTATTATGAACGAGTGAAAATAACAAACGAACGAATGAACGAACAAAAAATGAGCAAACGAACGAATGAATGAACGACGAATAATCGAATGCATTAATTCAGATCGATGTATGACGATGGTTGTTCTAAGAAACGTCTACAGCATTTTATTTTCATCATCGTCATCATTAGCAACCACAATAATATCAACAACAACAACAGCAACAATAATAATAATAATCTTCACAAGATGTACTCATTGATTATTTTATGCAATGTGTTGTTTTCCGTCATGTTGTGTTCAGTCACCTCATCTGCATAATCGTTTTCAATTCTTAATCATCATCGTCGTCGTCGTCATCATTATCACCACTACTATCATTGCCATCATAATTATCACCACCAGATTAATGAATGGAGGAGCGGAGTCAGGTTTTAGGAAGGTGAAGCCGACTGAATATGAGCCACGATTGTTGCACTTTCACGGAGACAAGAAGAATGTTCTTCTTAAAGAGGTGACTCATTTCAATTTGACAGTCCGTCCGTCTGCTCTTTTATTCAATCAATCAATACTCTCATTCATCCATTCATTTATTCACTAACCCGTTCGTTCGTTCGAAGGTACCTCGCAGTAAAGAGAGACTGGATTCGGGCGACGTCTTCATATTGGACATGGGACTGATGATCTTTCAATGGAATGGGAGCGGCAGCAACAAGGATGAAAGGTTCAAGGTCAGTTGATGAATGGATAGATAGTGAAAGGAATGAAAGAATGAACAAACAAACAATATTAACACCATAATACAGGCAATGGCGTTTTTGAACGGTTTGAAATCAGATCGGGGAGGTCAGTGCAAAAGCGAGGTGATCGAGGAAGGCGATGTTGCTCCTGATGTTAGAGTTCTGATGTTCATTCATCCATTTATCTGATCGTTCATTTCTTTTTTATTTATTTGTTCATCTATTTATGCATTCGTTCTTTCCTCTATTACAAATAGCAGTTTATAAGTGCCTTGAACCAACCGAATACAACCGACGAAAAGCCAATTGATGACTCTTCATCCAAAACGACGCTCTACAGGTCAGCACCCCATTTCAATTCTTTCCGATGTTACCGCTTTTGCCGATGTTTTTGATGATCATCCAAATTGAAATAAATTGACTTGTATTAATTAACTAACTTACTTTTGTTAACAATTTGAAGAGTATCAGACGCTACAGGTTCACTCAAGTTTACCAAAATGAAGGAAGGTAACATCAAGAAAGATGATCTGCAAAGTGATGTTTGTATCTTTCCAATTCATTCTCAAGCCACGTGCTCTGTTAATGTCACTAATACTACCACAACTTATTAATATATAACGCAATTATTTTCCTTCCCATCGTAAGCAAAATGAATCAGGCAAAATAACATTTTTCAGGATGTCTTCATCGTGGACACTAAGAAGGAGTGCTTCGTGTGGATTGGCTCGAAAGCTACTGACAACGAGAAAAAGAATGGAATGGCCTACGCACATGTTAGCTCAGCTTTGTGAATGAGTAATTAATTGAATGAATGAACGAATAAATAATTGAACCAAAGAACAAATTATTGAAAAAATTTAACAAGCGAATGAATGAATGAATGAACGGATGGACGAACAAACTATCAACTTTTACTTTCACAGAAGCACTTGATGAAATCATGCCATCCGCTCGTTCCCATCATCGTTTTGAAGGAAGGACAACATAATCAAGACTTCCAGGCAGCACTATCTGCTTGACCATCAACATCCAATCCAGAATCCCAGCCGTCTTCTTGAAAGTAAATGAATGAAATAATCATTTTTTTCGTTTAACAGTAAATGTAGAAAGTTAAGTTTCCAAGCATAAAATGAAGATTCAATAAAATGATCATCACCTGTAAATATTTCAAAATGACAGATCGCAACGGTCACAAAAAAGTCGAGAGAAACTTTCCGGCGAAAAATTTACTCAACAAGAAATTATTTTTAACGTTTTGTAATGAATCATTCATTTTAAATCTCTTCGTAATTTAAACATTGTGATAAGTTTGGAATACGTTTGGAATATCAACTTTTATAGATCGGGCTGACTGACATCAGCAGGAGCTTGAATGTGATTTTTAAACGTCAACATTTACATTCCATCTTTGTCATGCCACATTTTTTTCATAATTCAACTTGTCAAAGTATTTAATTGATATTAAATCTATATAATTAAACACGCACACACACAAGCAGACACAAAGTTGCAGAGTTGACAAACGTTTTTGACGTCTGATGTTAATACCTGGTGGTGATGGTGTTGTTCTAACAGTCATTCATTTATTTCGAGATAAATTTAAAACCAATGAAATTTTTTTTAGTTAATCATAAAAAGTCGGCCACTTTGACGCTTCTTTTGACAGCGTTTGTGAAGCCTTCCTTGTATCTGTACCAAACGTCACTGAACACTGATTTCGTGCTTGTGATGCTGTCGTTCGTTTGCCGCTGCAGTTCTTCTGTTGTTGCAGTGTTTAAAGTTGTGTGGTTGTTGTTGAAAGTTGTGAGGTTGTTGTTGAAAGTTGTGAGGTTGTTGTTGAAAATTGTGAGGTTGTTGTGCTGTCAAGTGCAGTTTGTAAGAATGGAGACTAGCTTAAATCAACATGTAGATATTTCGCCTAATTTTTGTAGAATGTTTTAGCAAAATATGTGAAACGTAATGAAGGCGAGCCACCAGGAGCGAACCAGTGAATGAAAAATTTAAAAAATTGAAATAAACAAACTGATGAAGAGTGGGGGAATATAAATATCAAAATTGGACGAGCAATCAATCAAGCAATCAATCTTCGTTTAACGTTCAAAAACCCACTTCCCCCGAGGTAGGACATTGTTTTCTTTGCCATCAATTTTTTGCGCCAAACTAGACGATCAGATGTATTCATTTCATTTAAATTTAGAGCTTTCATGTCTTGCTCGATTGTTTGCGACCAGGACTTTTTTGGACGGCCTTTGGGACGTGTGCCAGGTACTTCAACATCTGCAAGAGAAGTTATGGCACAGTTTCCACTTCGTTTGACATGACCAAACCACCGCAGACGGTGTTGCCGGCATTCGTCCTTTATATCATCTAAACCAGCACGACGCAGGATTTCGGTAGATTTTATGTGGTCCTTCAGACTAATTCGTTGCATCCCTCGGAGCATTTTCATGTCGGTTCGTTGAAGTTGTTGTTCCAGTTTGGTTGTCATTGGCCAGGTTTCTGCACCATATAACAACACCGGACGTATCACAGATTTATAAAGTCTTGATCGTAGCGGTAGTGGGATGTCACGCCGCATCAATATAGAGGCAAGGAGATGCCATTTATTCCAAGCTGCACGTATGCGTGTTCGAACAGCAGCTTCAGCTGTTCCAGTACAATCCAGAACATCCCCTAGATATTGAAATGATGTGACTTTCTCTACCTTAATGGCTTCAAAAACATTGCTATTTTGAATTTATTGTTGTGGATTGATGCAAACAGGGCAAACAGAATTGGACACTTTAGATAAAGTATATAACACTATAGATATAAAACTATATAATAATATATAATCCTATTCAACTCTATATAACTATATATACACATATACATATATATATTATATATATATACATATTAACAACCGTATATAACACTATATAACTATAATCAATAACTTTACATAACTATATATAAATCTATATAACCGTATTATTATTATTAATTAATATTAAATATAAGCATAGTTACCGATTGTGATAAAGAATAAAAAATTGGACGAGCAGAAAGTAATAAACAATAGAGGGAGGAAGAAGTGGGTGTCAGTTGGCAATGATGGAGTGTTTGAATGAACGAACGAACGAATAAATGAGAAAATGAATGAATAGATGCAAACCTCCACCAGAATTGTTGTGTTTGGCTGGTTTCTGAGTTTGTTTATCAATCTTCCTGCCAAAGAAATCAACTTGAACCTATGGAGAGGTGTAGTTCTTTTTAAATTACAAAATTAAATGAGAAAGTTTAAAAGAAAAAAATTGTTATTTTGAACTGCCGCCGGTGGCATATTTATTCATTTGAAAGAAATAAAAAAAACTACAAAACCATTCATCAACATCATCTTCAACATCATCTTCAACATCATACTCATCACTTTTATTTCCTTTCCCTGCTCCAATGGTTTAGGTTGTAGCATTCGCCTGAGGTGGCCGGCCGGCTGTTTGTTGGATGGAGTGGATGATTTGCTGACTGCTGGCTCGCTCTTGCATCTGCAGTGAATAGAAACTTAAAACTTAGCGAAACCTCTTTCAATTAATTATTAATTTTCAAACCGGCTGCCACTGAATTAAGATCATGTCCACATTAAAAACATGCAAGTTTCAACAGACAACGAGCATAACAAACACACTCCTAGGCAATAACAATAGCTCTAATAATATTAATATTACAATATAATAATAATCATAATATAATACAATTATAAATAAATATTGAAAAATAATTTATAAAACACTTACCTAGGATCCTGCGATTTCGACATTTCCAACCTCCTCATCTTTTCCAGCTCAATCTGGAATGAAGATGATGATGATAATATGATGATTGTTCATATTATCTCCTATATTATGCCTACATATATATGGCTCGAATAGCTGTTTTTATATAAAAACTAGAGAGAAGATAATGTCATTTTGAGGTATTAATTATTGAAACCGAAAAATATCATCTCATCACGACCTCTCTGGCCACTAGTTGTTTGCAACTGTAACTCATCTGCCTGCTTGTTTTTGAATCAAAAAAGTTCACCACGTCATGTATGTTCCTGGCCGTGAGATGATGGTGGAAAGAATTTAAAATGTTATTAAAACAACAGCTACAACACAGCAACAACTGCAACAACACAGCAACAGCTGCAACAACACAGCAACAACACAGCAACAACTGCAACAACACAGCAACAACTGCAAACATCAGCGCAACAAAACGAAGGAGCATACGGCTCGATGATGTAATTGTAACGCCCATCAGGGGTCCTGCACTGCAGGTACGAGAGGTTGTACGCCAGCATGGCCTGCACCACGTTCGATAGCAACATCTTCTCGTGGCGGCTGTACAACTGCACGTTCACCTGGTCAGCAGGTTGGTCGTGATGGAAATGACGATGAACATTTAGATGATGAGGTTGGTGGTGATGATAAAGAAGACATAGACATGGAAGAAGAAATGAACAAACAGGTCTCAGGGCGGGCTTGATAACTTCAGAAATGTATGGCAGCATTTCAAGGACCATGTTATATTTGTTGACGAACGGTCGGATAGATGGATGGATTTTCTGAATGACAGACGTCAACAATTCATTTCTTCTTGACAGGTTTGTTTGGAACTGTTTGAAGCAAACACATTTTACATGTTTAAGAGGTTTTGAATAATTTGTTCATTTATAGAACCATCACCACCAACACAACGGTCAAAAACCTCAAATTGTGACTTGGGGAATGCAATCTTGTGTGGTCTGCTTACAGCAAATATGAAATGGAAGGCAACTGCAATGAAGGGAGCATACCTCATCATAGAATAATCTTGCTCCTCTGATTGGTGGCTGTTCATGACGTCAGCGTAGCACAGCCAATCAATGGCTTCCACTAACTGCCAAAATCATGAATGATAATAATTAAATAGTGTTATTTTTAATTTCAAAAAAGTACGAAACCCTATTAAAAAACGAAATTTTAATTGCTCCACAAAAATTAAATATTAATTACAAGGCAGAGTGATCATAAAAATTTAATATGGAACTAGCCAGTCTTAACAGAACTTATATCAGTTTCAGTTTTTTCAACCAGAAAAATGTTCACAAAAATAAGTGTAATTAAGTCAGTTGCTGGCATGAAACGCGACGACGTCTGCCAAGCATGTTTCAGTAGTCAGTGGAGAACACTTTCCAGTTATCAAAGGGCTTCATAAATTATTTGATAATATCTATTGAATTAACAAAAATACTCATATTTCATGAACTAAACGAACAAAGAAAATTATATGCTTCTGAAGTAATAAAATAAAACAGTTTTTAAATAAACTTGTACGCTTCAAACTTGAGTAAACAATAATCCTTCAATTTTCTTTTAAAAGTATTTAACAACAGGAATTTAACTTAACAATCACAGTCCCAATTTTATTTCTAATTTTTGCTGCTTCTCAGAGTAGATTAGACCTGTGAAGACATATTTAAAAGGTTGAGGCTCAACTGTGGGCTACACCCTCCCTTGGTTCAGAGGAATGAACAACACGCAAGCATTGTGGATGGTGCTGTGGTGGTTCCTACACTATGCTGGAGCACTGAGGTGGCATGGAAAGCAGCTTCAAATGTATTTTTGGCAAGAAAGATTTTAATTTGCCTATTACCGCAATCAACTTTGATAGTATAGTTTATACGTTTTTTAAGAGGTTTGAAAGGTAGTCTCTGGGTCAACTCAGGAAAAGAGTGTACAGTACAGACCCTTAAATAAAAACATATATACATGTATACATACACGTACACACACATACATTATCCATTCTCGAATCTTTAGCATTACTTATCAAGTAGTTATCAAACAATCCCTGCTGGACTTTTGCATGTTCACCCTCTGCTGATAACTGGCGGAGGAGGTTACTGAACCTTGGAGATTATCATTATTATAACAATTATTATTAATGTTATTAGAGTTGAATATTTGAAGCAATGGATGTAGTGTTTCATGAAACCAAAATAACCAACCTATCATAAGACGAGTTGCTGTGTTGCTGTTCGTTCAACTGTTGCAGATGGCTGAGTTGGTCGTGCGGATTCACATATCTCTTTCTTGAGTGGTGGGATCAACCAACCAGCCAATCAACCAACCAGCCAGTCAACCAACCAATCAATCAACCAATCAATCTACCAACCAATCAACCAACCAGCCAGTCAACCAACCAATTAATCAACCAATCAATCTACCAACCAATCAATCTACCAACCAGCCAATCAACCAACCAATCAATCAACCAGCCAATCAATCAACCAGCCAATCAACCAACCAATCAACCAACACCAACCTCGATGGCTTTGGTAGTGTGAAGATACCTGCCCAAAGGTTGAAAAGATTCTTATGAACATCCTTCTGGCCGAGACTCAGTGAGGTCACCATTTTCAAATTCAACTCATCTCCATGCTTCGATTTCACGAACTGACGTCGTCATGATAATGATGATGAAATATTTATTTTAAAGCTGTCATCATTAACATCCTCCCCATTCGCGAATGGATGAACGAACACGAACGAAAGGTATAAACGAATGAACAAACAAACGAGTGAACGAACCTGGATAGTGTTGATGCACGACCTGATGTCATGATCAGCTTTCTCGCACAAACACATCATAGTTGAGAGGTCAGACAGGAGACCTTCCATTCTGCTGATCTGAACATTTTGTTCACACTTCCTTCATCATCGTCATCATCATCAGCATTTTATTTCGATTAATTTCTTGATTTGAAATTCACATGCGTCAAAGCATCATTCACATTTCATTCCAGAAACAAACAAAAAAAATGATAGATAAAAAGTTGGAACCAAAATGAATGATGAAAGAAATAGATGAAGAAATAAAACAAAACGAAGATGGTGGATAGATAGAAATAAATTAACTAAGACCTCGAGAAGTCGTATGGCGAGTTGTGACGTCACGGAAGGTTGGAAGGTGAGGAGGAAGGAACACTGCCTGAGCGAGCGGAGGGAGGGAGCGTAGAGGTCGTTGCATATGCAAATGATAGGCCGAAGCAAGACCTGATGCTCCTTCTTGCGTGCTGCTTTCGTAGTTGTCGATGTAGACGCCGGTGTTGTTGTCAGGTCGGAGTTTTTTATCAAGTTCAATAAAACGTCAATCGCCGGCTGTTGGCATGCAGTTTTTATGGAATTGTATGAGTTTGTTAAATGTGATATGTGTATTGTTTGCATCTATATTAAAATATTTTTAAAAGGAAACATGAACGCGACCTGAGGAGCGCCATCTATCTCGTCGATGATGAGGCAGTTGGGCCTGGGGCTGATGTTGTCGTTGGTGGTTGTCAGTGACAGGACCGACGTCATCTGAGTAGATGATTCTATCTTATCTCTGAAACTTTCAACTGTTCTGTCATCACTGACGATGATGATGGTGATCGTGATAACATTATTCCGTTATAACAATCCTCAAGAAATTGAAAGCCAACCAACCTGGCATTCATTTCGACCACATTGTAGCCAGCATGTCGAGCGATCACATGAGCGAGTGTCGTCTTCCCTAACCCGGGGGGTCCACTGATTAGTGCTACCTGGCAGTAATATCGTCCACATTCACCACTATTCAAAAAATATGGCTGCATCGTCGTGCCACTATGCCAAAAAATCTGATTTCATATAAACAACTAAATTTCGAACACAATCCACATTATGACAAAAATCATAAAACACATTCTACCACTAACTACAATTACTAACTACTGCTAAAAATACACACACTTAAACATACACAATGCACCAAACACACCTTCAAATAAGGTCTTTTATTTCTATCTAAGCCATCAATTACATTTGCATGGGAAGCATTTTTTGAAATGTTGCTGCTGACGCTATTGCTATGGATAACTTCTTTGTGGAAACACGTGTGGTCCCACAGTTTAAGCCATCTCAAAAGAGATCTATTAGTTGACTGGAAGAATCATATATATTTATTGCTTTGCAATGAATTATATATATATATATAATATATAACATATATATATAATAATATATATTCATTCTTGGGCGTTCGTTGAATGTTGAGTCTCTGTGTATGTATGCTCAGGTTCCTATCCATGCCACTTATCACATGGATGTTTTCCAACAAATGTTAGTATCACTTTATGTGTGTGAGTGTGTGAAGGCAAGCAAACAAAACCATGATCTTCTAAAAAATAAATTCATATTGATGAACCTCCTGACTGATGAGATCTGAATAGCGTCGTGGAGCATACTTATCAACCCACAAATTTGTTTCAACAACATTTCTTCCAGTTGAATTAATTCCAGCCATCATTCCATGATGCCGACCATCATCAGCATCACAAACTTTGTTGTTGGAATATATTAAACGGTTATCGCCAGCCACCGCCATTTTTGCAGAATTATCACTGTAATTATTGATGTAAATAATTTTATTATTATCATAAATTATGTAATTTTCGTCAATGTCACCATCACCATCAACCCACTTTTGAACCCTCTTCTCCATCTTCTTCAATTGCCTCTGTCATGTTTATAAATGATTGATGGAATAATTTCACTGATCACCATTTTCAGCATCATCAAGGACAAACCCACCTGCTCAAACAGCAGCAGCTTCATGACACAGACCGGCACAGTCAACAGATTGTTGCATGTTGACTGCTGTTGTCTTTCTTGATATTGCTGTTTAGGTTCTACAACAGACAGATAGTAAACCTTCCCATGGCTTGTTGTCATGGATATGAACTCACCATTCGGTATTCGAACATCCAGCTCTTTGTTCGTTGAATTTTTAGTCTCTGTATGTGCGCAGTCTCTATCAATGTCACATATGTGCTTTTCCAATGAATGTTTGTATCACTATGTGTGTGTGTGTGAGTGTGTGCGCGCGCGTGAAGGCAGGCGAACAAAATAATGATCCGCCAAAAAATAAATTTATATTGATAAACGACTTGAAGTAGATACTAGACCTTAATGAATGATAAGGATGAGTGAATGAATGAACTTGATGACTAAATGAATGAAGGAATGAAATGAGCAAATCAATGAATGAACAAATAATGAACATAAAACTCTAAACCAAGTGATGTAGCACGTTCGAGGCTAGCACTCTCAACCTGAAGCTTCAACTTCTTGCACGTGTTAGCTTTTATTGGGTGGTGAAAGAAATTTTCACATTGAGCATATTTATGTGCTTACAATTCAGCCAACTAAAATTTTATTTAATGTTTAGAGGCAAACAACAGAACGACTTCAAAGCAAAATCTTTTATTGAACAAACCAAAAGAAATATTACAGAATTTATTAGCATAAAACTTTGAAACCAATGAGATTGGATGAACGAGCATTGAATTGGTTAGCACTACCTCCTTACATACTTACCTTCAATCAAGCTGTCATGCAACTTTTTAAAATCTTGTTTTTCTGATCTACTTCTTTTCTTAGCTGCAGATTGATTTTCCGAGCATTTTGATTGTTGCCAGGATGCGACAAGATGGCATGCATCTCCATTCAAACTTTCAGAAACGAACGTCCCTTCAGGCACAGCACACAAAAATTCATCCCCATTAAGATTCTTCCTCACAATTTCGCCAACCTCACTGCTACCTGCTGCTGCTGAACTGAATGTGAGGGACCTTTTTGATTTGTACATAGGCCGCATTCTTATTGATGAGGAACATTCTTCTGCAGTCAGTCCAAATATTTTGAGATGACAAACATTTAAAATAAAAACAATTTAATTAGAAATTTAAATTGAAAATATGTATGGAAGGATTAGTGATAAATTTGTATAGAATGAGATAGATGGGTGGATGGATATGAAAGGATTATTAAATGAAAATATGAACAGGAAATAATAAAATGCCTTACTAACAACTAAACAAAATGTGCAGACCCACTTCAGTTTTATACAATAACTATTCCATAAAATAAGAAATTGCTTACATGTAACAAAGAAATAGCAGCTGTATGCTATAAAACAATATTTATACTTGCCAGCATATTTCTGAAGGGCATCACCATCATCATCATCGTCATTGTTGAATATTGGCTGGGAGTTCATTACCTCCAACTCATCAGCATACATCTTGTCAAAATCATCTTCTTCATCATACATCATTCTTTTATCAATTTTTTTGACTTTCTATCTAAAATTAAATCAACTTTTTATAAGTGTGAATATAAATAAATAATAATAAAATGAAGTTATAAATTTTCAAAAATTATAAAGCAATAAATTAATAAAATGAATGAATAAACTTCTGTTTACCAGCTTTGTTCATTTACTTTATATATAACTTTTTTAATTTAAGTCTTCAGCTAACTTAGTAATTTGTAATTATAAAAAAAAAATATCAAATTAAAATTAAAAAATTAGTAAAAAGTGAATTAGCCAGTTAGATTTAATTAAAAGCTGCTCCTCTGAGAAGAGCTAACTGTATGTAACTAAGCTAAAGCAAATAAAAAATCTATAAAATAAATTTGTTTACTAGACTAGTGCATAAAATAAAAGAGCATGACCAGAAAACATTTTTAACAAAATTTTCAATCATTTCACAAATATGGAGTGGTTAAAATTTTCAATCATTTGTGAAATGATTGAAAATTTTGTTAAAAATGAAGGCCCTAACCTAACCCTAACCCTATTAACCACTCCATAAGTCATTGATATTTGACAAGTAATGATCTAAAAAACTTACCTAAGAATTAACTTGTATTAAAATTAAATTATTTTCAATTTGATATCAGATATATAAATAAGCGCTAGACAATTCAAAGTGGGCAGAGTCAATTTATTAAAAGTACATTATGATTGTTTGTAAACATGCACGATACCATAGGAGTACCTATCTCCCGTTTTACCAAAAACTAGAAGAAATTATTTTAATTTTAATTAATAAATTATAAAATGTGTGACATCTGATTGGATTGCCAACTGAATTGAGTATAACACACTCCATTAATTTGCAGCTTTATAATTATAAATAATATAATATACAATTAAAAATTAAATAATAATTATAAAATAAAAATAAAAAAAGACCGGTTTCAGTTTTGCCTTCCAGCCCAGGGATGAAAATCATGCAATCCAATCAGCAATGCTGTGCAAGTGAAAAAAACATATATTATTTATTATCATAATAATTTATATTTATATCAATAAGGAAAAAACTGACCACAAATTCGAAACAGTACAAAAATTTGACCAAATTGAGATTTAATTAATAATATAATTATAATATTTAAAGTTAAACGATTACGCCGCGAGAACTCCTTAAAAATAACAATTTTCGCCGGTCGGACTAATCGACCTGCTTGGGTTGTTTTATCGGCTTACCCACATAACTAGAATCAATTCGATAAATCGGTCGGGTTATTTGACATGCTTGGATTGTTGGCTTACGAAATTGCATGGATCTTAACGAGCAAGCTATTTACTTGACTTAATATGCTTAAAACATTGTAGTAATTCTATTTAATTTTATTTAATAAAATTATCTATTATTAAATTATTTTTGTTAATTTGATTATAAAAATTGCTTTTTGGTCCGGTGAAATCCGGTGGATTACTGAAGCCGAAGGTTGGATTACTAGGATTGAACTATAGTCACCCTTTTTTTACACTATTCGATCATGTTAAAAATTTGTTTGCTTATGAAATAAACGTCCTAAATAAATCAACATTGTTATTTGAACAACTATCTTCATTATATTCAATGAATACTTTACATTCTGCTGGTGCTCAAAAAAATTGGTTGCTGAAATTATACGTTGGCTTACTGCAGTGGCTTACCTTACAGGGTTTCATAGAACTCTTAGGATAGAGTTTTTTGTACCCCTATATGTTACTTCTAACTCCTCCACTCTTACTTTTGGAGTACCTCAGATTTCTATCCTGGGCTCTGAACTACCTCGTATTAATAATAATTTTTTTTTCACTAGTCAAATATATGCTGATGATTCTTATATTTATACTTTCTTTCCTCCATCTTATCACAATAGTGTTCTTCATAATCTTTCTCTATGTCTTTTTTCAATTATCGCTTGGTCTGTCTCTATGTTTTAAACTTAATCGTAATTATTATATATTAGTATTGATATTATAATTACATTAGCAGTAAATTTTATAGTAGTTATTAGATGTATAGTGTATATATATATATACTCATCAAAAATTGTATATGTATATATATACATATATATATATATATACAAATAGATTCATATAAACATGTTCATGCATGTGTGCTGTATGTATAAAAGTATTTTAAACTTCGCTTATGAGGATGATGGAAAAAACATAAGTCGAGGTTCTTGCGTGTTAAAACTTTTGGAACTGCAATCAACAACATCATCGCCAGCAATTGCATCAACAACAATTACATCAACAACAACAATTATATCAACAATTACATCAACAACATCATCATCACCAACAACAACACCATCACCACCTTTGTTATTATCTAGAAGTCAAGAGCAGAGTAACAACACCATACCGACCACATTACTCATAAAGTTGTTCGTTATCCCATCTAGCACTGTGCTCGCGATTTTAGATACGGCATCTCCGCCAACAAAACAACGACATCATCAACATCGGCAGCATCAAATCTTCTATTCCTAATTCTTTAAAAAAACTATATTATTAAATCGATTGAGATTTTTAGGAAGAAAAGAGAAAGAAAGAGAATCTGTTGTTAAAATTTTGGCACCATTTAGTTTGATCGGTTGTTTATTGAAGAGATGTTGGTGAAGGTGAAAGAAGGATGTGATGTCACAACAGTCATCGTCTTCGTCTCCATCTTTTGTTCTTTTATCTTCATTTGTTCTTCGGCGGATGCTACAGGTTTATACGTTCACTCATTGTTGGTTTATTTATCGTTCATTGTTCGCTCATTTGTTAATTTAATGTTCACTCACAAATGAGTTTGCACATATTGATTTTTCATGTTTAAGTTTGACTTAATAGTTTATACATCGCGATGAATATGTCTAATGTGATTTCTTAAGTTTATGTCAAATGTAATTTTTGAATCTTGATCGAACTCTATAATATTATTTCGGTAGGATACCCGTTTCAAACAAGGTTATATTGTCATGTTGATCTAGGATTGAAATATTTCTCTTGTAATATCATAACCTCGTTTTATTGGTGCATTTTATTTCATTGGATGGTTGTTTGATTGTTCTACCGCTTGCCTCGATGCCTCCTTCGAGTTTTTATTTAATCTCTCTTTCAAATCATTCCAGCACTTCATTTACTCCATTACATTCATTTTATTTTATTTTCTTCTATTCCTTGTATTCAAATCATTTGTTCATCCATTAAATAATTCACTAACAAAATCTTTCATTCATTCATTCGTTCGTGCGTTCGTTTGTTCATTTATTCATTCATTCATAGCCTCATACGTTCATTCGTTTCACTCGACTTATGTGCACATGTAGGTTCCGTTCCTTGTAAGATATTTAACATTTTAACGATTAACACATTGCGTTTAAACGCTGATAAGTGAATAGAAAAAAAGAAGTTATCGTGAAACAAGATATGAACTAATGGAGCAGCAAGCCAACCAAACAACCAGTCAGCTATTTACTTAGAGAGCAAACAAAAAAATTTGGGAGGCAAAAAGTTTGAACACTACATCTGCTAATGCTCTTTATCAACTGTTTCAGTTTAAAGACGCACATGATTGCAATGCCATCGTCTCCAGTTGACAGCTGGCATGCCGCCTTCGTAATAAGCTGTAATAATAATTTGCCAGTTGGTTTCTAATCTATTTCAATTTTTGAGTTTATCCATTCACTAACACGTGCACAAATAAATACATTACATACATACATTTGTATGCGCGAAACATTAAAGTGCGTGTAGATGCATCCGGTGGCGGATCTAAGGGGATTACCGTTATGAGCAGTTTTTTAATAAAAGTCAGTAAAAGGATCGATTTATGTGTAAAATCGATCAAAAATTGAATAAACGTGATAAGCAAAATTAAGGTCGTCAGCCACACTGCCACGAATTTTGGCCCCTCCTGTGAAAATTTAAACATTTTCAAATTTTTGTTGCTTCCCGTTAAAGTTGTCATCAACAAGATGAGCATTCAAGTAAACGAAGAAATGCAAGCGAATGTACGCTGCAAACTCTCTCTCAAACACACACACACGCGCACACACACACACTCATAACAACTTGACAAAATGACACCAAATTCAATATTTTATGACGGCAGCAAGTTATTAAGTTCTGCTGTTATTTATGCCTTAATCTCTTCATGCGATTAGGACGATGATGATGACGATGATTAAGAGCATCGTCTAACATCAAACCATCATTAATTACCCAAGTGAGATGTTAAGCATGTTTATCTCACAGGCCAGCAACAGATAATGAAGAAAAAGTTGAATAAAGTATGACTTCATCCACGTTCAACTCTGTCAGATGCATTTTTTAAAATTAACAACTGTTCATACAAATATAAAAACCTAATACCTACACATACAAAAAGCGTTGATTTAAAAAATGTTCTACACTCTGAAAATATGGTACATACTCCAAGGAGTTGTTGATTTTAATCTCTTTATTTAAAATATTAATGAAATGTTTTAGTATTTTTCGTTCAACTTCGTCGCGCATGTCACTGATTTTTAATTGCGCTTAAGTTGCTTATTTCAGTTATTTATTAGTCTTCTAGCAATAATCTCCTCAAGAGACTGACTGCTAGCAATTGAATAAATTTGCTTCCACCACGATAAATTAGAATTAATTGCTGGGAACCGCCCTTATCTAACACCACGTGAAACCTTGAAATCTATTGAATATACAACAAACAACATCTACGATGTTTAGGCACACAACATTATTTTCAACCATACATGCTATGTACGGACAAAATTTTAGACATACAAATCTAAATACAAAAGCTACATACAAATTTACGAGCAAAGACTGAAACACGTGTAAAAACAGTCGCACGCACATTAAATCTTTCCATAACATAAGCAAATGGTATGCAAAGATAAAGTAAGAATATTAGGGGATGCTCCAACCAACTCGTTATATCGATACATTTCTTCTTGTCTTTATCGTTTTAAGTCTACGAAGTGATCATTCATTAAGAGTTTGAAGAGCGTCTGTCCAGTTATCTACTGACTGATCTAGATGCTATGCATGCTTCTTTAACTAACAAACTCAATTTATGTTGGCTATCTATCAATCACATTATCCAGCTTGCCTGTCTCAACAATCCGATATACCACCATCATCATAAAAGATGCTTTCAAACAGTGCACCAATTTTAATCGAGCAAATAATAATCTTTATCAGCATATAATAAATAGCAGGATATATTTCATTTGCAACAGGTTTATTGCATGCGAGCATATGAGGCTATCAATTTACCACACACTGCACGGCACGTATAACTGCACTACATACAAGTACACACACATGGAGCTGCTGACATTTTTATTGTCTTCCCTGCAAAATTATTATAAATATAATATCTGTCCTTCTATTTGCCCTAATTTGTATAAAATTAATGCAAATAGCTTCAACAACATCAACAGCAGAAGCATCGACTGCATTCCAACGTTATCAGCGCCACTTGAAACTTCTGTTTAATGTTGATCCTAACGTGAAATGTACAACGACGATGTATCCAACTTGAATGTACAACGACGATGTATCCAACTTGAATGTACAGCAGCGTTGTATCCAACTTGAATGTACAGCAGCGTTGTATCCAACTTGAATGTACAGCAGCGTTGTATCCAACTTGAATGTACAACGACGATGTATCCAACTTGAATGTACAGCAGCGTTGTATCCAACTTGAATGTACAGCAGCGTTGTATCCAACTTGAATGTACAGCAGCGTTGTATCCAACTTGAATGTACAGCAGCGTTGTATCCAACTTGAATGTACAGCAGCGTTGTATCCAACTTGAATGTACAACGTCGTCGCACGCCTACACACACGAATAATAAAAATAAATTGTGAAAAAAATTTATACAAAACACATGTACGTGCATTCAACCGCTCAAATATATTTTCCACTAACAATGAAATGTTCGCATTTTTATCTCTCTAGAAGATAAGTATTAAGAAGGAAACAACACACGACAATGAGAGAGTGAGAGAGTGAGAGAGAGAGAGAGAAAGAGAGAGAAACGTTCCTAATTATTATTTTAAATATTTTTTTTTCTATGCACGGAAATCACAATGGAGTTTCAGTGATGATGACAACATGATTAAATGTCGTGTGGGGAAATGATACAAGCTTTAACTGGGACACGTAAACAACATCATCATCACCACCATCATCATTATTATTATCATTATCAACATCTCCACCACACTCAACAACTATTTTCCTTTCAGCGATTGTTAACAAAACCTAAGCGATAAATAGTTGAAGAAAAACATTGTTATGCAATCAATCAGCCTAATTAATTATTATAAACATTATGAAATAAGCCTGAAACACAACGCCAGGCAGCAACCGACGCGCCCGTTTATAAATGTTAATGTTTAACAGCTGCCCAACTCCAATGCACATTATCAAAATATGTTTACAACGCTATTTAACGGTGTTGCTACATCTTTATAACGATGTTAGCAAAATTTTCAAAACAGCAACAGTTGCATACCGCAGTTAGTATCATTATTATCATCATCATCATTGCTCGTGTTTCCCCAAACAATTACAACAGTTTCTGTTAAATTTCTCCCAGTTCCTAATCGTGACAAGTCGATTAAGTAACTGAAACTTTTTGTAAAAGAAATGTGTGCGTGTGTATCTGTGCTGGTGTATATGTGTGAATATTTGATTGCATCTGCACGAGTTTATGTTATTACACACAAACACAGAAACACAAACACACAGACACACAAACAAACACAGACGCTTGTTTGTACAGATTACATGATACAAAGTCATGAAATGAACGAGGATAGGACTCTGGGATCCTCAATCAATTTTCTGTGCAATGTTAATGCTCCATTGAGTGAGTGTCATCGTCGTCATCATCATCCTAATCATTATCATCAATACCAATTTCACTAAACGACACCGATCCACCACAGAAGCGATGAACCACAAAGCATACTGGCTACACGAGGGACGCTTGATAGCGGACCTCGGCAATCCCAGCCCCCTCTACCCGCAGTTCAAGCACGGCTACAAGGACCAATCAACCATTTTTTTGAAAATCGATCCTATTAGTATGAAGGACGCTGGTGCCTACAAGTGTCAGATCAATATAATTTTTAATGACGTGGACTCCAAGGAACTCAGTCAGACGCACATCTTGGTCGTTATGGGTTCGACATCTCTGTCTTAATTATTTTTTGTTTTGTTTTTCTATTCTTTCATATCTTTATTATTTTGTTTTATATGAATATGTAATTTTATAATCAAATAAATTTCGTCATTTGGAATGAATTCATTCAGCATCTTTCCAATTCCAAATAATTCAAACGCTCGAACAGTGCCGCCTAAATTGAAGCCGTTCGAGAACACGAGCATATCATTGAGTGAGGGCAGTAGCTACTCAGTCAAATGTGAACTGACCGACGGCCTGCCTCCACCAGAAATAACCTGGTTCAAACAGGTCGCAATATTTCTAATCATCAGTTTTTATATATGAACTTATTTCGTAATAGTATGCCCAAGAAAGAAAATAGGCTAAAGTAGCATCAAATGAGCCAACTTCAACTTTTTCTAAAACAATTAAAATGATGAACAGAATAATTCAATAAATTTAGATATTTATTAAAATAAACATTTAAATTTACAATCATTAAAATAATATATAAAAACTAAAACAACATGCACCACTAACTCTAAATCAGGCCCCAACATTCGATGGAGATGATGACTACGGCATTCCCCAAGAAAACGAAACATTATGGATTGAAAGAGCCACATTAGAAGATGGCGGTATATACACATGCATGGCTCTCAACAGAGCTGGTAACGTCAGACAATCAATCGTCATTAAAATTCTTCGTTAGCAAATTTTTTATTCATTTATCAATCTAATACACATACACACTAATATACAAATTGACAGAAACCCGTCGACCAACCAACTAACCAACCAACCAACCAATCAACAGATAGACCCCTCTTGATAGATGCTTCCCCCTCCCCAATACACTCTGGTCCGGGGTACACCACAGTCCTCTTCTGTATTTTCTACGCGGCACCCAATGCAACGGTGCAATGGCATTTCAAGGGCAGAATAATTCAACTTGTTAACGTTCCTAACAATCGATTCCAAGCCTGTTAGAACTCTATTAAACTCTTTTCTAGGCTGTTGCACAAACAAAAAACTATGAATTAAAATGTTTTGTATACTATGAAAATAGAATTGGATATAAAAATCATTAAGCAATAAAAAGCATCTTAAATATATTAAACACTATTGCGTTAAATGTAAATAGCATTATATCACATTCATTTTCACAAACACACAATGTTAACGAATTTATTAATTGTGCTGCAGCTATACAAAAAATAGAGATGATGGAAACGTACAGGTACGTACTGACAATCACTAAAATGAATATAACTGACTTCGGTACGTATGAGTGCGTGGCTAGGAACAAATTGGGACCTAATAAAGATAGGAAACTTATTGAAGTCAGCGGTAGGTGCGATATGTTTCACATCTTGTTGCTGTTGTTAATGTTGATGATTATACATATAATTTATTGGTTGTAACTTCAAATTCGAAAATTGATTGTCGCATGTTTATAGGTCGTGTAAATAATATAATTTGCTTATTTTTTGCTTTTTTTACAAATTATTCAAAATATCTTTTCTTTACAAGTTATCAGCAAAACTTTCAGACGTTACTTATTATACAAAAAAACGTAAACATGTTATTTCTTATTAATAAATATATAAAAACAACAACAACAACAACTGCAGCTAAACCAGCTATGTTGAAGATTATAAGTTTGAGTCACAACAACACGTACAGTGACAGGTACACTCTGGAATGGTCGGTTGCTTCGTACTCACATCTCACAAGTTTTCATGCTCTAATTCATTTAGTGAGTGAACTGGTTTTGAAAGAATGTACACTGCAATTAAATTAAATGATAGTATAACAAAACGTTTAGAAAAGATTTTTTAGTTGAGTTTTAGATGTACATTTAATACAACCAGCTCGGTTGCTTTTAAATTTAATGACAACAATAAAAATAAATGGTTCGAAAGATTTGATTGAATGTTGGAGACTAAAATTTTTTTAACGTAAAAATGCAGATAAATGGTACAAAGGAGATAGTTTATCAGAACATAACCATCGAACCGAACAATTTGCGTCTACCACTTTATTACTCAACCATCACAGAAACCAAAGAGAATTATCACCAGTCTGCAGTCATCACTAATTTGCCAGAATCAAGCAAGTTTAGCATTCAAATGATGGCCGTAAACAAGTACGGAGCCACAGACTGGACTGACGTAGGCTACTTCCAAACAGTGGCGGGTAAATAATTTTAAAATTTATATACGCATCAACATAGCCATTGCTAGTTAGAGGCATTTTCAAGAGATCTTTCAAACCTCTGAAACTGTTACATATGGCAAGAGTGAGTGATATAAGGTGACCAACCCCCCTTGAAGATCAAGCTATGTAATGAGCCGAGTCATTTCAATGGATGACTTGTGTAATGATTGTCATTGTGCTGTACATGTTTGTATTTCTGTTTGGGTCTTTAATCACGTGTTTGTTGCATTAACTAACTCATTGCAGTTGATATTGTGAAATTGCATCTAAGATCAATCTACATAACTAAAACAGAAAGTTTTTCTTGTTAATGTTTGCCAAAATCAAACAAAATCTGTTAACAATGATGCAGAGAATGGTATAAAGATGAATTATTAATTTTTATCTCAATAGGTGGACGATCATCTGCCGTTAGCAGTGTCTTAATTGCGTGCGCCGCCCTTCTAATGGCTCTGTTAAACAAATGATCATTATGCCACACTTATTCGAACAATAATTTTTAACGAAAAAAAGTAAAATGTTTTTCCTGTTAATTCATTAAAACAATTACATACATTTTTTCATAAATTCTCAATAAATTATTTTTATAAAGTGTTTTTCAATGCATCAATTCATTCTGTAGTTTTTTAATATAATATGTAGTTAAAATAATTAGCCTGAATGAAAACAAAACAATGTATTAATTGAAAACTAATGATGATAAAAAAAAATTGAATAATAATGAACGAATGTAGAGTAATGTAGAACTTCTAAAAACGATCATGACGGTGAAAAAGAGGATGAACAAGATGAAGATAGACAAGAAAATATGAAAATGAAGAAACAGAAGATGATGACAATGATGATCCTTTTCTATGGAACTCTCCACCTCTTTCTCTCACACTTACGAAGTTCAGAGCGGATCTCAAGACCAATCTGTTTGCAAAATTCATCGAGGAGCGCTTTATAAACTAATTGATTGATTGATCGATTGATTGATCGATCGACAATAAAACACTATATAATAATATATAATCCCATACAACTCTCTATAACTATAAACACATATACATATATATATATATTATATATATATATACACATACATATTAACAACCGTACATAACACTATATAACTATATATAATAGTTAACTCTACATAACTATATATAAATCTATATAATCGTATATAACACTATATAATAATATATAATCCTATACAACTCTATATAACTAATAATAAAACAAACGAATTCGAATAATAAGAGTGATGACAGCTGAAAGATAGAAAACATGGATTGCCGCATTCAATGATGACTCTTCTACTTGTTTCACTCCGTTGTTCACTCTGGCAAATAAAAAATATTATTCTTTTAATTATAAATTAATTAAAAAAAAAAACAATATCAATATTCATTTAAACTGAGCTAAACTTCACCACAACAAACTTGCTATCATCATTCCAATTGTTATAAGGATAAAATTTATCTAAATATAATACAGGCATATGCAATTTATAATATATGAAATAAGTAAACCATAATATAAAAATTAAGTAATAAGCTATTTGTAGGTACCTTATTATAAAAGTTAGTCCATTGTTGTGCAAGTTCAATTTTGCAAGAATAAGA